TTAAGTATATCTAAGGACAAGCATAATGAGTGATGTATTTGCGGTGTGGCGATATCCGACGACAGTCGTTTTTCTCGCCTCTGCCGGGAAAGTTTGTGAAGCGTCGAGAGAGATCAGTTACGTCTCGTCAACTTTGCGGCGTAAACGATTTCTTGTTTCTTTTAGGGGTGGCGAATAGCTCCTGGATTATAAACACTGCAACACGGAATCGTTACAGCAGTAGATCACCGATGCGAAATTGGTATATGCAATACGCGAGGGACATGCGAACAACATGCTATAATTGCTGCAACGCGCGTGTACCGCAAGAATTAACGTGGTTGACACTGCGAGCATTATAAAAATAAATCGTGCTAGTAAAGAAAATCTTCAGCCTTGGCAGCTTTAAGTTAAGACATTTTTCTCCTCAATCCAAAGAAAAATTTTAAAAATGACAGTGATATTGCATTTCACAGATCAAGATCACAATGTGGGATTATCGAAATGGTGAAGCATGCTCGGGATATGTTAGGCTAGCATCTATCTGTGCTGTAAAATCAAGCATTTTATATTCAACAATATACCGAAACATCCCACTCCACACGCTAAATAAACGAGCACGTGGTGCTAACAGAAACATTGCATGCTCCAGTATGCACCACCGCACTTTCAGCGCTTCCAGCACTTCTGAGTGTGCACCAGCGCCAAAGCGGTCAAGCCAGCGCCCCTACCAATGCGACACAGCTATTTTCCTTGCGCCCAGTGAAGTGCCAGTAAATGTACCAGTGTCTCCAGCGTGTACCAGTGCCAAAAAAAACGTACTTGCATCACACTGGGGACGCCGTTTTTTGTATTAGGGTATTTACTTGCAATTTCTTCCAATGATAAAAACAACAAATGAATCAAGACTAGATGTTGAATGGCAAAGCGCCTGTGAACGATGTGAACGCCCTCTCACGTGTTTTCGTTGAATATTAGGTTACAACGCCACCAGTGTTGGCCTCACAAGTTCTAAGTGAGTAGCCATTATCTCGTGGAGGAACGGCAAATAAGGATATCATAATCGAGTGAGAATTGATCCCGGCCTATATGCCTGGCATGCAGATGTTCAGCGACAGAATGACACTAATGTTTGAAACTTCCTCGGAAAAAAAAGATTCTACATGAATTCGAAGCAGTGAGAAAAGACCCCTTAACACATTTCATATGGCACAAGCGTAGAATCACGCCAGGCGTCAAAATATGTCAATGGCAGGGTATTTAAAAAGGCCATCTATTACAAAGCGCTCACATGTATTTGATAATAAACAGCTGTGAGAGCATCAACAAATTGAACAGGTGCGTAGGTTCGCGTGTTGTCTTACAGACGCGAAGGGCGTCCTCGGCTGATGCGCAAAACTATGTCGCCATAGGCAAATAATATCTCTATTTTCAGTGCGCATGCAAGGTTACTTGATGATCGATATGTAAATTTCGACGTCCCAAAACCACCATATGACTATGAGAGATGCCGTAGTAGAGGGCTACGGAAATTCTGACCATCTAGGGTCAAAGTGCAGCCAATTTTGAGCACGTAGGCCCTACAGAATTTTCGCCTCCATCGAAAATACCGGGATTCCATCCCGCGACCTGCAGGTCTGCACCCGAGTACCTTACCTACAAGGCTACCGTGGTTGGGCAAGGTTAGCTCGAAATGGTCGATGTTGTGCGCACAGTCGTTCGTTTGCTTCTGCCATGGTTGAGACATGAACCGAAAACTAAACCCAGGCTAGCCAGTTAGAAGGCGATGCGCATATGCGCCCACTTACAATACCGTGTTCTACTCTATAAGGCGAAGCTCAATTGACCTAAATTTTTCATGTGAAAGCATCTTTATAGAGTCTCAGCTGCTTTTTGCCATTACCGTCGCCGTTATGTCTATATATATATATATATATATATATATATATATATATATATATATATATATATATATATATGCATATATATATATATATATATGCATATATATATATATATATATATATATATATATATATACATATATATATATATGTATATATATATACATATATATATATATATATGTATATATATATATATATATATATATATATATATATACCCTGCCAATGCCAATTCGGAGCAATGCACTTGCTCGTAATCAGCTCTTTGTCTGACGACTGTAGTCAGCTGTGCCCTGGGCCTTAGCACATGCGTATGCGTGTACAAGACAGTTTGCACGTCCCGTGCTTTTTTGCCGCAAATATTGCTCTTACGTTACAGAGCGTGCCTCGTCGTAGAGGCCCTGTTAACACCAAGTCAGTTTACACTTGGCTCTAGAAGTTCCACCATTTCAGCTTTCACTGTGACTATGCTGCGCTTTGCGAGCAGGTCAAGCAATTTTTCAGGCTGACTGACAAAGCCGACAATATAGCTTTGTCAGTCAGCCTGAAATGGCTGCTGATTCGCGAATCACGGTATCAAATCCCGGGCACTGCGGACGCACTTTGATGGAGGCGAAAATTGTCGAGGCCCATGTGGTTAGATTAAGGTGCCCTAGAAAAAACCCTAGGTGTTCAAAATTTCTGGAGCCCTCCACTACGGCGTCTGTCAAGATCAAATCGTGGTTTTGTTACGTTGAACCCAAGCAAATATTGTTATTACAAAGCTTGAAACGTCATGAAATTCACTTTAGCAGCCAATTTGTCAGCTCAAATTGACCATTACCATGTTCGTTTTAATAATAAGCGACACCTAATTAGACCTGCAAAAGTTGCATTTGCTTTTAGTCTACGAGTTTAACCAGCACCGGCATTGTCACTGAGTGCAGTAACTAGTGTTGTGGGCCTCCATACACCATTTGATGATGGCGGAATGTAAATCGAAAGTTTTTCTATGAAATGTTTGCAGTTGCCTCCAAGGGAAGCATCTGCAAGTTTGAACTCGTCAGATGATATGCTTTTTATGCAAAAGAAAATATATAAGTACAAAGCGTTGTAGACAGTTTAATATTTTTTTTACCAAGAATGAATTAATAGGCTTTATTTAAAGTTCGTCGGTTTCCTTCGAATGAGGCGGGAAGGATAACATTAACCTATGTCCCCCTCCCGTGCATGCTCCGTCGCTGATAATGACGGTAGCTCTGGTGACGGCTCGAAAAACATGGACCCACGATAGACCACTCAACTTACCGACTTTGTTCGACTAACCTTTTTCCTTCATGTTGCCTAGGCTAGTTATCAAGAGATTTTCTACCAAAATTAGCAATGAGGGCTATTCGCAATGCCCGCAGTGCGTTGCATCGCCAAGCCGAAATTCAGGAGCATCCTCTAGTGGAAGGTGAGTAGGCGACACAATGGCAGCACTACACTGTCGCTCCCTTGTCCCACTCAGCTATAGCCTCCATCTTGACTCGTTAGTAAAGAACCAGCACTACGACTCTGCACGTTTCCTGCATGACATGTTAGATTTGTTCTTTCGGGACGCAAACCTTTTGTCAAAATGAATGGCACCTCGCGCTTTCAGTCATATCCCATAGGGTACACACACCAGCTTCGCGACTTTTTCTGCAGTCACGTAGGCTAGTTAAATGCTATCATCATACCCTTTTAATTTTCGCTTGCATATAGCATTCACCAGTGCTCTTTCAGTGCGTGAATTTTATAATAATACACGTGGAAAATTGAGTGGGCTCTTGTGTTGCTCCTGTTTGCCTGAGCAATCACAAATTGGCCACCATTGCTCTGCTTGCATTTTTGTAAGTTTGTTGGTACCTGGACGGGCACTGCGTACGATCTGCTTGTTAACCGGTTCGAAAGCGAAATGTTCGGGGTGCTAGATAACGTGGTGACGCCAAGTGCTCGACTTCATTCGGTGGAGGAAAATTTTCATAATGCTTTCAGCAGTGATGTTGAAAGAAACCATCTCGATGACGACGACTCTTTACCGGACGTAGTAGGCTGTGAAATTGCTGAGAGTGACAGTGACGATCAGCTGTTAAGAAGAACGACTTGCACTTCACGTTCCCTCGTCAGTTGATAGTTTTTCACACTCCTAAGCCACTTTCTATATAATATAAAGGGTAATACCGCTAAGCGAAATTGTAATAAAACAATGAGTTTTCCTGTGTATTGCTTGTAGCTACATTGCGGATATTATGAGTGCCGCATACAGTCAAAACTCTCGAGCTTAGATAGGTGGAAGGAACAGTCATGATCACAATCCACGGCTGTCAGCTCACTTCTCCTGTACTTTGCCAGTATTTATTGAACGGCATTGTTGTTCGACTAAATTAGGCAGTGTAGAATTTTTCGACCTTTTGGACGTGCAAGCTTTTTTCTCACGCAAGCAATTCACAAATGGAAATTCACACTATTCTCACACGAGCATTCACAAATGGTAACCATCATACTCGTAGGGCTGCTCGACTGCACCAAATGTAGAACACTGCTGCGGATTCCGCTCAGATTTGTGCACTTTGAAGCAGTACATTGACACGTTGCCCATTTTACTGAGCTTGCACTGGTTTCCAACGCCTAAATAGGAGTGGAACTTTCGGCCTACACCCATAATATTTTACTCGCGCAATAACAAACCACAAGAAGCCACAAAAACACTTGGCTTCCATTAGACAGTTTTAATTCATCTAATCAATTCGCATTGGCGATGGAGAGCGGGAAGCTCTACTTCCCCATCGAGCGCTTCAAGTTTAAGCATAACCTTACCTTTCCCCAAAGCTTTATGACTCAACTAGATGAATACAAATACCGAAACAATATTTTGCTGCACCTAATGCGCCCTATTTTCGCATACGCATAAGTATTACACGGGGTTTAATTAACAGTGCATAACTGATTCTGGAAAACTGATACATATGATGCGTACTTCTGCAATTTGTTTCAGAGAGATTTTGTTATTAAAGTCAATGTTTTAGATGGCGTTGAGTGTTGCATAATCAATCTTGAAATGGTCGCTTCGATGATGCTCGGTGCTGACGACTCAACCCCGTGAAGCTTCAGTTAAATAGAAAATAAATAATTTATTGGTTTTATGGCATAGACTATGACGAAGTATGGCTCTCAAGGTAAGTCGATATCATCCGTTGTGGTTGGTGGCTCGGGGCTCGGGTTTTCGATCTCAGCCTTGATGGCTTCTCGAAGAGGCCCGAGTACTTCCTCTCGAAGCGCCCTCTGGAGGAGGTACTTTGAGGCCCGTTCCACAAACGGCTGTTCGAAGCCCAATACGCTCTGGTAGTGGATTTCCTGTACATCTGCAGAGAGGATCTGGAGATCTTCTAGTGTAGGCTTGGAGTCGTCCGATAGCGCTGCAGAATACATCAGGTATGAGAGTTTATTCACAAGCCTCAGCAATTCATGTGTAAGTTACAGTTTCACCAACATAATGAAGCAACTGATGTGACAGCAATAAACTGTAATGTTAATTGAAGCAAAACTAGTAGCTAACTTTTTTCGAGGTGTTCTCGCATAAATACACCAAACGTAGGTGTAAGAAATACGGACGTTCCGACGTGAGAAGCCTTTTAGGGGCGAAGCTCCTTAGGGCGTGGGCTGTGCGTCCCCTGTAGCCTGTATGTAGCCACCTCTAGTTTAGTTCTTGCAGTATTCACTAGATGGCGGTACCGTCCCCTGTATGTAGCCACCTCTAGTTTAGTTCTTGCAGTGTTCACTAGATGGCCGTACCGTCTCCTGTATGCAGCCACCTCTCGTTTAGTTCTTGTAGTGTTTACTAGATGGTGGTACTTGTAGCTGATGATGAAAAGATGCAAGATGTTATAAACTAGAAAGCGGTACTTGTAGTTGATGAAAGACGCGAGATCTTATAAAATAGAATATGTCACATATGGCGCATGTCATTGGTTGAAGGCAATCGTTCGATTTAGTGCGGCGACGTACGCTAGGGGGAGCGATGTAATAAAATCGAGTGGGCAAAATGTACAGAGGATTCATGGTTTACCAGGTTTACCTCCGGAGCTTCGCCCACTCATCATCATTCACTTCGTGGATATGGCGGAATTTTTTTTTTGTGTGTCATCTGTAGTCTAAACGCGATGCGGTGAGGGCAGATACACTACACAGAAGGATATGTGGGGGCTGTTTGGCATGCAACCACGCCCTTAGGAAGCAATACTCGCAGTATATGCTTGAGCAGCACAGACCCCTCACTCTCACTCCCTCCATCCGTCATCGTGCTCATCTACCCGAAGGCGGAGAGAAGCAACCTTTGGCAAACCTTCCATGTGATATGATAGCATCGCGTGCACCCTCCGTGCGACGGAGATGGCCAGATCATTTCATCTCTGCTTCAGCGTCGTTCATCGCCAACGCTGACATGCTTTTAATCTTAGGAAACACGTATACAGCGTTCATGGCATTGTTACAAATTCGACCATTATTCTGAATATGACGGCGACACCAAAGACAAAAAGCCCCTCGACAATGTCTAAACGACAATTATCACAATAATAGGAAAGTGTTCGGGGTAATTTTTCAACACAGAATAATTTCAGACTCTTCTCGTAGCGGCCTCAAAAATATAGAAGTGTGGGAGCTTTGGTTAGTTGGTATGACATGGCGAAAGTTATAGCGCGAGAAAAGAACGATGACACAGAGGCAAAAAGGATGTTCGTGTCATTCGTGTCCTTCTTGTCTCTGTGTCGTTATTCTGTTCTCGTGCTATAACTTTCCTCAAAACATGTTTGGATCGCAGGAATGATATGGTACTGACTGGCTCTCCGACATTTCGATAAGTCGACCTATATTCATTCAAAAGCGTCCAAATGAGAGCAGTAGACTTCCATTCGTTTCTAGACTCTTGCGGGGAAAGCGATTTTCTTTAAAACCTTTATTGAAAGACAGATAACAATTTCCATTTACGCAACAACGCCCAAACTAAAAGCAAAAACTGTGCGAGAATAACCTATATACAATTTCAATAAATTATAGCAACAAAACAGTCATTTCCACTCTTGCATCATGTTTAATAAGCTAAAAATCACACTCATTCACCAATGCAAAGGGTGGATTTGCTTCGCCCGCTGTTTTAGGGGTGAAACTCCTTAGCAGTGGCTAAGTCTCTCTTTCGTAGCCGCGGCTTACTTCTCACACTGTTGACTAGACGGAGCTGTGTTGTTGTAGTACGTGAAGGGATCACTAGATGACGTGTTGCATGTGGTTTAGTTTGATAGGTGTTTGATACTATGGTGGATGGATAGACAGACAGACACATGGAAAAACAGAAAGATGGCTGGACAGACAGACAGACAGACAGACAGACAGACAGACAGACAGACAGACAGACAAATGGACGGACGGACAAACAGACAGACAGATGGACGAACGAACGGATGGAAGGATGGACGGCTGAGCGGAGAGCCCGGGAAGCTTCACCCCATTTATCAACGTTCACTCCATGGATATACTGTAAATTTTTTGTTAAACAACCAGCCAACCCAAAAGCTGAGCGTTGGGCTCGCTATAGTGAGAGTGTTCGGGAGAGCGAAGCCGAGTCATCGCCACTGCTAGAAGATACATGAAAAATTATTACTGCTCAGATCAGTGTCCACAGCTCATGCACACCGCTTGCGCTTCGTACTAAGAGATGGCCCCACTGGTCATCGTCTTGCGAATTCACTACTACACTCCTGTAATTGATATATCACAAAACCATGGTGTCTCTAATGTAGTACCCGAATTTCTCGTTACGGAGAATTATGATTATCACGGTATTTTTTGTGCATACTTTACAAGTGGCGATATAAACAACTTGCTCATTGTTACAATTCGGAGCGCGAGATTTCTGCCTGGTCCAGATGTGACGAAGACATTGGTTGGTTCAACAGCTCCGAAAAAAGACATGGAGCAACAAAAAAGCAGATATTTTAGCATTGAACTCCGGCGTTTACTGCCTCACAGGTTTCCCACACGCAATTCGATGCTTCACTTTTGGGTAAGGGTAGCTGGTATTCTTCAATACAGATTTAGACACTAGGATGCGGCTATCATTCATGAGCCAATTCTCACGATAGTATTTATTTATCAACTTGAGGCCCATTTTGTGACATTTACGTCTCTGTCCTGTTCCTATGAAGTGCGAATCGATAACAAAACACACGCGCCATATGCCCTATGTGTTAAGCTCTTTAAATATGCACATGGGTGCAATTCAAGCAGAAATCAAACCTGCCGGCCGGCTTCATCGGGTGCTCGGGCATGAAGAGTTGCTGGTGAAGGGGTGGGGACAAGCGCAACTGCAATGTTTGATGAAGAAAACTTGGTTTCGCGCTCAATTTTTTCAGCAATTTATAGATGGGCCTAGCCTAATATTCGAACTTCCTTTTTACCTGTTTACGTGTATGCGCTGGCGTGGCCTTGTAAGTGCGACCAAACACCAATTTTCAAACCTTAGAGGGAGACGTCATTTTTTGCTTCCTTATGTCCTATTGTGTATCAGTTTGTCTCATGATCATGCGTTTATGTCCAACAGCCTTCCCGTATATAAGCAATAAAGACACAGCACCACCTACATATTTCTCAACATAATGCCAGGAAATGGGCCAGTTCATTCACACTTTCAGACAATATTCAGCGTCGCCGTTCCAACGTAGGTTTAAGGTACAATCCACAGAACAGGTGTACACAGCTCTCACACATGCTATTTTTTTGTTTTTATTATTTCGCCAGTTATAATCCCAATCAGAAAAATCGCTGAGTTTGTCTCAGTTTTTATGGGTAAGAAATCTGGTCAATATGGGCAGACATCAGAGCTTCCAAACTTTTTATTTCTAATTTACAAGCGAGTTGCGTTCGCGATTTGAATATCTGGTTTCCCCGTTATTCGACATTTGCTCTGAACTAGCCAAAGAAACGTGCAAGTTAATTTTCAATACGAGACAGGTTTGAGCGAGACCGCGTTATCGAAAGGAAGTGTGTTGCATACTTACGGGCCGCGAAGCGCGCCTTCGCTACCACGGGTCCCGTGAAGCGTAGGTACATGCGTGGCAGGCCCGTGATTCCGAGGTTGCAGATTCCATCGAGCTGTGCTCGAAGCTTCACGTCCCACGTGGTGTGCGCCGAGCTTAAATTGCAGTTTACCTGCGACCATGCGCACAAGTTTTATTGTCTAAATACAAGCAATGCTTATTGCGGGTTGCTTTCGGTCAGCAGCCGCATCATGGCATCACATTGTCTCATCTTACTCTCACATGTCATGCATAATTTCTTTTTGTACAGTGTCCTTACTAAAGTTTCTGTGCAGCTAAATTGAGTGTTTACAGTTCTTGCTTTTTTGTACCACGTCAATACGCAACGTACTTGCAGAATCAGGTATGACTACTAATAATTATTTCGTACGTTTGACGTTCTCAAACCACGGTGTGATTTTAGGAGACGTCGAAGTGGAGGGGTCCGGATATTTCCATTAAATGGGGTTGTTTAACGTGCCCCTAAATCTAAGCACACGTGCCTCTAGCATTTTTGCTGCTATCGAAAATGCGGCCGCAGCAGCCAAGCTTTTATGCCAGGACCTGCGATTCAATATTAAAGCACCTCTACTGTTAAACTACTGGAAAGAGTAAAAAACAGATTTCACTGTTACACTTCTTTTACTATAGCGTATTTTTAAGGCTGACTAAAAAAATAGCGGCGTTTCAAATCAACACGTTTCCGTGTCATGCTATCATTCACCTGAATTCGTCTTACAGTAATGTGTAATGCTCAGCGTTAAACCTACAGACAATCGGCTCTTTTTTGTAACAGTGTCTCTACAAGCCTGTCATGCCGAAATCTATTTTTATTTATTTATTTATCTATTTATTCATTTATTTATTTATTTATTTACTTTTTGAAAGTCAGGATGTATTATCAGAGTGGAATGGTACAATTCTGAAAGCATTCGAGCGATAAATACATGGAAATGAAAGGGTGACATAAAAACACCTACTTTATTTTACAGCCTTAGCTACTAGTGTACAACAACAGGAAGCCAGCAATACATCTGAAAATGATGACAATGAATCGAATGTATTACTATTCAGCATTAGGAACACGTGTACTTAACCTAGCAGTATCTTAAGCAGTGATCATTTATCCATGAACGACTTTATGTTCCTTGAAGCAGCAATACAACGGGTTGGTTTCTGTAAATCAAAGTGCACTGCTTTATTCATGCTAGAAGATGTAGAGGATTCATTCCTTTTTTTTTTCTTGCTTTGTTGTATTAACCCCTGCCACCCCACCCCTAACATTTCCTGCAACTCAGGTGCTGTTGCAAGGCCTCCGGGATCCGCCACTGTTTCGCGAAGCGATGACTGTACATAATGATGTTATTTTAGGTGACGTCCTAAGGACGTCACAAATTTAACAAACTCTGCTAAGCAAGACGACGTGATCATTAAATACGTTGCTTTTCGTGCCGTTTGTGCCGATGTCGATGCTCGTATTTCACGTTTGAGGCACCGCTGTGACAAATAAAATAGAGCTTCACCTGCATTCGTTCCACTCCCAGTTGCGGTAGGCCACCGACAACTGCTGCCCGCAGAAATCGGCGGCGGCGGAACTCCCAGAGCTCGGGCAGCCTTGAAGGAAAGCCACGTAGAACGCGGCCCATGAATGTCCCTAGCCTCTCCGAGCACGGTGCAGAGACATTAGAGAGCTTCGGCGCCGGGGTCGTGGTCGTCGTTGCCACTGTGGCCACTGCATGAATGCCACAGCTCAAGTGTCAGACAGCCGCAGCCTAAGAACGCACTCCAGACAAAGGAGGTCTCGGGGAAGGATAATGTTTGCCCAACAGTTATCGTTTCATAATATCGGCCACTTTCTTAGTATGCCTAGCGTTTCGACTGTCTACAACTTACCGCATACAGCTTTATGCCATCAGCTTTGTAGACAAGGGCCACATTCGCAAAGGTTTCCGCCCGCATTTCACTACTCTTGGCCTGCTTTCGGTAATTATGTACCGAGCATCAGTACTGGCTCATGTTTCCTTTTTTTGCGAGATTCTATAGTGAACACTCTGTTATAAATATTCCGCCTTTTCCATTTCCCCGCGCTGCCATCTGGCGTTTTGGTAGGGCATGGTATACGGGCCGGGAGAACTGGCACTGCTCGATGAAAGGGCGCATGCGCCACGGCATCGTAGATATCATAGGATTATTGACTGTCTACGTCGATGAGCCTGGCTGAGTAGCGTAGAAAATTTTCCGTGGACACCACGGATGTTTCGTTTGATTTCTTAATATGGATCGACTTATGAATAATTTATACTGCCTTACGCATTTGTTCTCAAACTAAAAATACCGCGAATATTCAATCCTTGGACAACTTGGGACAATCACGTAATATTCCACGCTCTCGTGATTATACGCATGAAAGATGTACAGGTATGATCAATAAGATGTTGAACACCAACTGTGATAGATTATAGCAGATAAGCACAGTTCAGAAGCGGCACAGTGGTGGGGACACAAGACGTTTTAGCGCAAGGGTCTGTCAGGCTATAAAGCACGTCACTTCCTCAATAATAGCTTAAAATAAATCCGAATTCGTCGTTTCTTCTAATGTTTAGTGACGAGTGTGTGTTTCAGATTAGGTTTCGTCTTTATTCGCTGTCGCAGGCCTAGGAGTTAAGTAGCTTGAATATCCGCCGTGCTGGAGAGCGTTGCAAAACTAAAGTGTTGTTGACCAAACAGGCCATGACACGGTCACCTAAAACTTTGCTGCTTGCAGTGATGAATAGAAGGAGAGTGTTGATGACGCCCATATATATCTGAAAATCGCCCCACAAACCAATAAATCAGCCCAAATTAAGCAGTAGAATTTTCCGGCTGTTGATCCTTGCCGCCCACCACCCGCAACGGCCATATTGCCTTGGTGTGCGTGACGCCACGTGCTGCATAAAGCGTAGCCATCATATTCTATCAGTGTTGAAGCCGCTGCAAATCGTTCAGCTGCAATGCTGGACAGGAGAATATTTAAATAGCTTGTTTCCACGCACAAGTGGCCCGGAGTAAAGAAGCTCAAGCAGCAAGCAGCGTGTCACGCCACGGCTCGCTATTGCGTCACCGTTTCCCGCCTCTGTGGCCGTTGATGTCTATATAAAAACTATAAATTGTACATTGAGCATTCAAACAAATGCGCTAAACTTTCGCCCACTTATTTCTATACACCAAAATATTAGCCCATATAACAGGCATGTTCAAAAATTGGTAGTTTTGGCTCGTTTGAAGCTGTTTTTGTGCACTGAGATGAAAACAAAATCTACCAAATAAGTCGTGTGTAACAGACGATATGATGCGCCTATTTTGTGCTTATACATTGTTGTTTGGTATTTCAGCATTTCAGTCAACAATTTGTGCTTTTTGAAGCAACAATATTCACAAACGTGCTTAATACAACATCGGCCGATATTTGCGTAACGCGAACTATTCTTTAAACGGTTGTGGCACGAGATAATGGTGTGCGTCAAAGTGGATTTCGCTACAAATCGTGTCCAAATTAAAAGGCATCAAGAGACTCGGGATTCTATGACCACATTACTATTATAAGCGCTATAATTGTATTTTGTTGTGCATCTATCTGTATGACTATGATGGTGCTGGCAGGTTTCTTCTTCGACAACAGTAGGCATATCCTGGAGCTAGTGGAGGGCGTAATTCGATTCTTCTATGTTATCTACCAGGTGGCTCACTGAGCAAGGAAACCTTCGCAAGAGAACGTGTGCTTTATTAATGCAGTTGTCTTCTTCCTTTGTTTGTTTGTTTGTCTGTTTATTTTATTTTGGCGCTGATTGTATTGTTGAAATATATGTTGCTTAACCAAGTAGTGTGGCAGTGAAAATAATCAGCAATCAGTTTATTGTTAGAGAAAACTTCCATTTAGCATGCACACAGACAACCTCGGAAAAAGTGCATCAACGTCTTTTGGCTGAGCAACCGAAGCATGTCACCCTATGTAAAGCACGGAAATGTCAGAGCAATACTCGTCACTTAGGCGAAGGGATATGTGATTTCGGGTAGTTCTCCCTCTGATTTTGACACTGCTAACAGTAATAAAAAAAAACTTGCTGAACCTCAACATGAGCGTTGTATCTGAAATTCGTCAGCCGCTATCAGGCATTCTGCGGGTTCGTCAGACATGTAAATGCGCATTTCATAAAGCCTTCATCTCTTATTTTCCCGCTTTCCATGCAGCGCATCTCTTGCTTACAACAAGGCCGATACCACTAAGTATACATATTTTACTACAACATCTGATATATTATTCAGGTGTTATATACTAGATGCATTTTTTTCTGCTATCAAGAATTTTCTACTCGAGCAGTATGAGAAGAAAAGAGAACGGGTGAAAAGTACGAATAAAAATAAATTTCTTACATGCCAAAAGTATATGATTACGAGGAGGGTTACAATGAAAGATCTTGATTGATTTTAACATCTTCAGGTTATCTACCATAAACTTAACTGGTGCCCGTAACCATAATTCTGTGTATTGTCAAACTCCAACACCCAACAGATTTTTATTTGCACATCACTTTAATCAGCCCTATATACTGCAATGTTTTACACTTTAACATTTCGATTGTTTGTAGCCTGTGCACTGTGTACAGTAAAACCTCAGGGATAAAGATATCGCTGGGTCACTGACGATATTCGTATCATCCAAAATTCGTACCACCGGGCCACATGAAAAATTACTAGGTAGGCAACAAAAGACAGCTACTGTACATTTTCATTTATTATTGCTAGGGGCCGCAGGAATGTCATAAACAGCTAATGATGATTGCCAAAACATTTTTAGATGACATCAAGCATAATTGTACTCGTAATTATACGGCACGTCCACTTTTAATAAACATCCCAGATTTGTAGTGACCAGCCACCACTATCAGCTCCTTCCAAATGTGAAGCACGCTTTGTCACACGCAAAATGGTACTGCAGCAAAAATGGCTTGAGAGACAGTTGGAATTCTGTTTCTATTTTGTTACTGCGGCGGTGTTTGGGATATTTGCCGAGAGATTCACGGCAGTGTGTGACAACCAGGAAGATTTTATTTGTTATTTTCATGCCTATAGGAGAGTGCACAGATGCGCGTCCGCAAGCATGGTGCGGCTTGTCGTTACGAGACCTAGCTTTTTAGCCAACACTGTTCGCTCCTCTTACAGTTCCGTCCTATTGCGTGACCCTGACTTGTATCTACACGGTAAATACGTGTAAAGTTTGTGCGATGGTGCTACCTCAAGCTTTAACACGTGGAAAGGCGTAAAAAAAGCGGGACGCCAGTGTTATCTATGATCTAAGCGCGAAAGCACATGAAGGTTCATTGACACCACCAAGATTCACGCGAACAATTTCGGAGGCTGCAGTGCGGTGCGTATGCCCACGCGACTGCCGCGTATTCTATGACAGCGTGGGCAGCGCCAGGCCTGTTAAAACCTGTGCGGTGATGCACGTTCGTATCAAGCGCCATGGGGTGAAAATCTGTTCGCAACAACCCTACCTCATTACTTTCCTGGTTCATGGGCCTTGCTCATCACCACGCAGTTATTGATATTACCCCGAAATGGACACGAGCCGTGATCGTATCACCGAAGTTGTTCTGTAAGACTACATTGTAATTCCAGAGCTTTCTACGTATAACGTGACAATTAAATGCGCACACACAGTCATCTAGTATTTTACACCAAGCCATCGGTAAAACACTCTTCCTTGTGAAGTGCCGTGAATGACGGTCAACATTACTTATCTGTGAAACTGAAAGAGTGCAGAAAAATGCATATTATTTTGAATTGTATAAAAGAACCCGCTGTGGATGTCTAATTTAAGGTCTCATAATAAGCACTCCTAATGTAGTTAATGTTCTGGATTCTGCAGTGTCACAACAAGAAACTGAGACTGCATGTTTACATGTAATACCAGAATGGCCTGTGATGTGGGAGTATCAAATGCACAATCAGGCTGTCTCTGCCTTTCTTTTTAGATTACAATACGCACTATTATTCATAGACTAGCACCAAACAAATCTGTAAGCGTCCACCTTTGTATGTTCACTTGGCATCATCAGCAAGTATACTTGGCATCTAGGCTTATTTTTCAGTGCTATTTCTAGTAATTATTCTTAGATTTTTATGTCCAGAAATCACGATATGGTTATAAATGATGCCGTAGGAGAAGACTTAATGATTTTCGGTTCATGGTATCTATAGTACACTTGCATCCAAGTGCGTGGGCTTCCAGCCTTTCGCTTCCATCGTAATGCGTCTACCGTGGTTGGCTTTTGATCACGTGATCTTAGTGTCAGCAGTCGAGCGTTCTAATTACTGGACCACAGTGGCGGGTAAAGGATATTCCTTAATCGTGGTCTCTTTCTTTTGCCCTAGTTTCAAACAGGACCTACCTCACTCCCTAATAAGCCTTCCCACGGAAAGCAAGTGCATTGGGAGACAAATAGTTTTGAGTAGATGCGGTACTCTGATTCAGATGTAATACCAAACTGGCTTGAGAGACTCAAATTTTGAGGGAATCATGTGGTAACGAATGCACAAGCCCGGGTTGATTGGCGGATCATGCGAGAGGTCTTTGCCCTGCAGTGGGCGTAATCAGGCTGATGGTTTTGATGGTAGTGTGATTCCAATTTTGTTGGTTAAATTATGACTTGCGTTTCAGTACGAGCTGCTTAGGATAAACGTATGAAAAGGGGAGCTAGTTACCTCTTTGTCGCAGCGGACCCTGGGTTGCAGTTTCTATACAGATAAAGTATAAGACGCACACCTGGATCTGGAATTGGTTCTGGCGCACCCCTGCAACCAAGCGACGCCACCCAGGCATCGCTCAGCAATGTGCATGAAAAAGCTTTCAAATTGTAAACTCTACTGCCCTAAAAACACTCTTAGAAAGATTGTATAGTGCGGCAAGCATAGCTTTATTGCATAATCACACACCTACGTGCAATAATGAACATCAGAAATAATTACCTCAATAAGATTGTGAAAAATTCAAAATAATTTCTTCACTCGAATTCCCATAGCAATATTTAGTGTGAAACTTTGAGGAAATGCTTTAGCACATGAAATGATTTCCTTCTGTGGGTTTATTGTTTTGTTTCTTTTGTTTTTTAACACGCAAGATATCTACACGAATATTCGACTGAAAATTTTGCACAAGTAGGTAGTAACAATTCTCTTTGTTTCTTTTATTCATTGCAAAAGCTCCCTCGTTTCATATTGGTGCATATGTGCACATCCCATGTTTCAAAAAAAATTTATACCTTAAGTTTTTCATTCTATGCAAACATCTGAATCTCACTTATTATAGCTAAAAAAAATTACACTTTTCATGCTTGTTTTCCTGATAGCAACCAAGGTGCCAAATTAGGCGCACATTCTAGCGATTGCGCACTAACCAAGTTTGGCTGTATTCTGTATGCCCCACAGATTAAAATACACCTAAGCCCACTACTCTGCTGGCAGTCGATGTTGAATAATATGGTCAAAAACCGGGATGTATATTTATACTTTGAAATAAGGATGCTTCTCTTATTTAAGAGCAGGGATAAATGCTAGGTCGCGATACGGGCTCCAGTGTACATTCAATATGGTTCGCAGGTGCCCTCTTTTTGTATACTATAGAACGGGGGGAGCAACGGGCGGTATACACGGACGGGATGAGTCCAGCGTGGCAGTTTTCACCTCAAAACGTTTGGTTCTTTTTTTTTTTGCTGTTGTCTTGTAAACTATGTTTGTAAATTGCAGCCTTGTGGCATGGATGCTGAAAGTAAACATGATTTCTGTTTCATTTATCTTTTTTTTACAGTTTACCGAATCTCTTGTTACAGTTTACCAATTTTTTTTTTCTTTGCCTGCAGAGATCAACCCCTCCTTACCCACTCGCCTATTGGCCGTGCAACCACCGCCATGTCAACGGCATGCATCTCACCCCCGCTAATAACTAGCACCTTTGGTCGATTGTCTCCTTGTATATTTCCCTTTTCTTCTTTTTTTCCATATGAAATCCTTCCAACTTCATGTTGAAATTTACGGTTTACGACACCGTGGCACGTTTATTATATTCAAAACTTAAGAGGCAAACAAACATACAATGATATCCAAGAAGTTAGACTCACCTGTAGTTTCTGGTGGAGGTGTATCATTGGTGTCATTCTTGATAAGCACATCCGTGGTAGTGGATTTCTGAAAAATAAGACATAGGCGTACGGTGGAAGAGGTTTATTGTCACGATTTACCCATATCTGTTAGATCACTTGTTATGTAATTCTTTTTCCGTGAGCGTACTACTCATCAGAGAGATCGGTAGGACATATGTTGCCCTTGTAATAACGAGATAGCGTTAAAAAGCTCATTTCGCAGGAATTGTCACATCAGCGTATAGCCGTTGGTGACGTTGGTTGTGAGCGAAAAATCATCATCTTGTCTGTAACCGCCAAAATTGAATAGGATGAGAATAAAATGAAAAATTAAAATCTTCGGTTAGATCTCTAATCTAACCTAGGTTGTTGTGTGGTAAACAGCTGTTTTATAAAATAGCCAATATATCAGTTAAAACTCCTTTGGAAAAAAGTTCATGTGACTTTCATGCAGAAGAAACTGTACTATACGCATCATATATTGCGTGAAATAAGCGTACATTATAGCCACTATAACAGTTAAAGCTGCGTTGGAAAAAACTCTTTGTGAATGTCATGCAGTGAAAACTTTACTTAACGCATCATAAATTGTGTGGCAGAAGCGTAGATTCACGCCAGCCATCGAAAATTGTTTCTTGGGCAATTGGTGTATTTGAAACATCCGCTCATTACAAAGCACTCAGACCCGTTGAAATTTCAATTAACGAGGGGAACAAAATCCATGACTAAGATTCAGCAACAAGAGCCATCAACAAATTCAACAACTCCGTTGGTTCGTTCATTGCCCTATATGGCCAATGTTACGTGAGGAGTCGTTCGTGTTCTTGCGGCTCTGTTTAACCATGCACTGGGTATAACGAAAGAAGCTAGCACTTCCGAAGGCGATGAGCACAAGGCCCAATTACAATATCGTAATCTGATCGTTAGGTTGAAACTGAAGCAAGGTCCAATTTTAACGTGATAGCGTTACGGAGCTCGAGTCGCAGAAATCCCGCCGTCGGCACCGGTACCGTTGGTTGTGAGCGAAAAATTGTTCTTGAGCGAAAAATTGTGAAAGAAGCCAATTAACTAAATGTAAAAATTTTTGGTTCAATTGAGAATTGAACCGGGCCGTTCGCGTGGCAGGCAGGTGTCCTACCACAAAGCTATGATGCTACTTCCAGCTGCTACGGGAAAAACACAACATAAATGCTATGCAGTGAAAGGAGTCTCCTTAACGCAATTCGTTCTACAGGTAGCACGACGAAAACGAGCTCATTCAGCGATTTGTAGGAGCATTTGGGAGGCGATCAAACTACGTCAAAAAAGGCCGGGATAGTGCAGCCTTCACCGCTAAAAACACACAGGAACTCTCATACAGCTCTAAAAACTGACAACTACGTCCGTCTAGGGGAAAACATATCATTCCTTTTCAGAAGCGTTGATCAAGCAAACAGCTACACGGTAGATAATTTGCTGCCATCTGGAAGGCTTTGTGAGACTCTCTATGGCCTACACGGGCGCGGCGTGTATCTTGGAGGCCATGCAACTTTTGCTTTAAATCAAAAACCTGTATGTACCATTCTAATGTGTGTGTGTGTGTGTGTGTGTGTGTGTGTGTGTGTGTGTGTGTGTGTGTGTGTGTGTGTGTGTGTGTGTGTGTGTGTGTGTGTGTGTGTGTGTGTGTGTGTGTGTGTGTGTGTGTGTGTGTGTGTGTGTGTGTGTGTGTGTGTGTGTGTGTGTGTGTGTGTGTGTGTGTGTGTGTGTGTGTGTGTGTGTGTGTGTGTGTGTGTGTGTGTGTGTGTGTGTGTGTGTGTGTGTGTGTGTGTGTGTGTGTGTGTGTGTGTGTGTGTGTGTGTGTGTGTGTGTGTGTGTGTGTGTGTGTGTGTGTGTGTGTGTGTGTGTGTGTGTGTGTGTGTGTGTGTGTGTGTGTGTGTGTGTGTGTGTGTGTGTGTGTGTGTGTGTGTGTGTGTGTGTGTGTGTGTGTGTGTGTGTGTGTGTGTGTGTGTGTGTGTGTGTGTGTGTGTGTGTGTGTGTGTGTGTGTGTGTGTGTGTGTGTGTGTGTGTGTGTGTGTGTGTGTGTGTGTGTGTCATCTGTGAGACATTGTGAAGAACGTGAAGAACGTGTCTCGACTACATCAGAGCGCCGTTCTAGCAGAGGGAAGTGGCCACGCTGCACAGTCTTGCTCATCAATGAGTGTCTGCGGGACATTCATGCCATGTAGTGTCCCACAACTAACGAGCCCGAACAATGCTAACGTTCAAGCACGGCATCTGGGAGCACTACGCAGACTACCTTATCGGCAGAGGGAAGTGGCCAAACTACACGGTCCTGCTCATCGGCAGCTACTGGTGACACATTCTCGTCAACTAGTGAACGAACAAGCCAGAACGACGCGGACTTTCAAGGACAAGCCATTCAAACGGGAAGAGCCAGTCGAGGCCGTCTCTCTGATCCAACAGGTGTACGAGTGTGGAGAAGTTTGTGCTGTATGACTAGGCAGTGTGGTGATTGTGTGCGTATACATCACGCCCGGAACATGCGTGATGACTGCTGCTGACCTCGTCATGAGGCACGTTAAAGAACCCAAGGTGGTCGAAATTTTCAGAGCCCTTCACTACAGCATCTCTCATAATGATATGGTGGTTTCGGGACGTTAAGTCCCACAAATTAATCAACCTCGCCACGAGAGAGCTGCATTCCTGCATAGGGTCTGAAGCTCTACTTGTTGTCGGAGATTTCAACCAAATTGTTCGGGTTTGCAGAAACTTTCCGGACATCCTACAAACGTGGGCTGGTTTGGAGATGGCGATTCCATCAAATGTGATTTCAGCAAACCACAACACTTGCATAGATTTAGCTTTTCATTCTCACGACACCATTAAAGAAGTGAAGTACTGCAGTCGCTATTTCACCGACCATTAGGCGATGCTTGTCGAGGTTGGCTGGAAGAGGTCTCCAGAAGAACAAGTCGAAGAATTGCCAGTTAACTAACGCAAGAAGGACGACATAATCTGACCATTTACGAGTACAAGTGTTGCGCCTACGCGCAGTTCATGATATAGGACCACGTGACTATATAACTCAACAATTGTTTCATAAAGTTGTTATAAATGTGCTGTTAAATAGATCAAAAACCTGTACATTTACTATAAAGGTACGTCGGGCTTGCGCGCGCATTTGTGCGCGTGTGTGTGTGCGCGTGTGCGTACCAAAACTAATTAATAAGTACGCACTTAGCGGTTGAAGGGCGCACTAGGGGCCGTATTTCGCTATCGCGTTCAACTCTTAAAGGTGAAGCTCAAGGGTCCCCAAATTTTTTCGCTATCACTTTCAGCCCCGAAAGTAAATGCATTTTCATTTTTCTTTCAATTTAAGAGTTTTATTTACAAACACAAGCTTTAAAACTGCTCAATTCTTGGTCCGGACGCTCATTGAGCCAGCAGGCTCAAGGTGTACAACACAGTAATTTCTGCTCTCTCTAGACAATATTGGCCGCCAATAAACTTATTTGAAAAATTGCAAGGTGTACAACACAGTAATTTCTGCTCTCTCTAGACAATATTGGCCGCCAATAAACTTATTTGAAAAATTGCAATCACTTTTTAAGCAGTTTCTGTGTTGCTGCGGATGAAATGTAGAATCACCCTTCAGTTCTCCTGAGGACTTTTTGGTAGAACTTTGCTGTGAGGCTGAAGATTTAGGGTTTTTTTTTAGGGGTTTTCACTTTCCAAAAATTATTTGTGTGTCTAATTCTTAGTTTCAGTGGATCATAACCAAATATTCGCTTTGCTGCTAGACTTGTCCCTACAGTTCTGCATAATTTTCTATACAAATAAATTATGTCGATGATTTATTGACTCGGCTGTTTCAGAGCCTTCAGCATTATTTTCTATAAAAAAACTATTCACTAAAAGAAAGTGACACGCGAGCGTATCATAATGACCTTTGTCCTAAATACTTTTGCTAAGAGTAGTTTTTTTTTTTTCAGAGACAGCGTTTCACCGTAATTCTGTCAGTAGCATATGGCCATCTTTGCGGAAAGCCTTTACTTCCTCTAATGAAAGCTACGTAGTACATAATCTAAGCCAGAAAAGTAACCAACTCAAACTTCCCATAAAAATTTTGTAGCACTCCACTACAGAAGTTTTATTTTTCATAGTGCAAGAGTAGTTTAGGTACCTCATTGCTATGGCCCTTTGAAAATGAAAAACAAGCTTTCATTGCATCTTCCTTCAATGTTATACAATAAAACGTGACCAGCACAAAGAAAGAGAACAAAATGTCCCTAACCCCATATTTTTAACACGGGATTCTCGTGATAAATAGAGATAATTAGGCATCACGCATAGAGTCATTGCAGGAACGTTACACACTAGCTATTTTATATTGAATGCACGTGAAATCATTCAAATGGACCTTTCGTCGGAAAAAAAGTTTGAATCAAAAGTTTTTTTTTATTTTTTCAGCAACAAAATGCATTTCACTTGCAAGAATCACTCGGAACATTGTTGCACATTTATGTTGGCTATGGTCGAAATTGGCCTAAGCTGCAGGTAATTGCACGTCGAAGTTTAGGAACGTATCTCTGCAGTAAGAGGCGTTATAAAACAAGTGCCCTTCTACGAAATAAACAAATGTTATCGTTGTTAAAGCAGCGGTAGAAAAGTGTCTGCTTCGTTCAGCAAATGTAGTGCGGAATGTCAGTCAAACTTACCAGCTGAGACTTTCTACACCTCTTGAAGGCCAACTCCGGTGAGTTTTCGAGGTCAATGGATCTCAATGAAATTCGTTGGGTACACTCCTTTGCACATTTCCGTAATTTATGCCAAACTACGGGCTTGAGAGATGCGTTGATTGTTTGAAAATGAATTTTAAAAAATTCCTCGAAAATTGGGTCTCACTGCCAGAATTGTTGGCAACACTGTTTGTGTGACGTCATGTTTGGCATGTCAGCCGAAGAGATGCAGCCGATGGCATCGCTACTTCGACCACTACAGCGTTTGTTGTGCTGTACACAAAGCGACGGCTTCGGTCTTCGGCATGGCTATAGCACGGGAAAGCTTTCTACCTTCCTACGTGGTGCTTCGCCGGCGCTTCGCTGGTCTGGCTTTTACAGTTTTCATACTACGCGCCCTCGGGACCAGCATACCGCCTCTGGTTCTTACCACATAGTATGCTATACGCATACAGGGCGCCCGGTCAGGTGTCGGTTTCGGTTGTGCACATTTTCGCTTATTAAAAATTATTTCGAAGTTCCCTGAGCATTCCAGCTATTGGGCTCGTGACAAGAGTTACATATGAACATAAAAACGCCATTACCTTGACATGGTCAAAAAATCGCTGGAGTTGGCCTTCAAGGCGCTTATGCAGTGTGGTGTCACAAATGTCTGAAATTTCAGAAAAAACCATCCTGCTTACTTTCTCTGTGCTTGGTAACCTGGATTCTGTGGTCGGTTGGGCAGAGGTAGTTGTGGGTACATCCTGTAAGCTGCTTTTTGCAGGGGTGGTCAATAGTACGTCGCTTTCAGTGACAGGTGACTCTGTTAAAAAAAAGGCAGCTCTCACACGGCGTCAGGCAGCAACAATTGTCAGTGTGATGCACTATGTCACGCAATATATATGTCAGTCCGTGGTTCACAATTTGATGGCTTTATTGCAATATGTATTCCTACAAAAAAACTATCGTTACATGCAGAATTTAGAGCTGAAATTTGGGAAGGATTATATAAAAGGAAACATTCAAAAACAAATAAACCATATTTACGTTCATTCTTTTCAAACCACCTTATAAGGCTGTTTCGTGCGCATAATCATGAGCAAACCAGTGTGCCGTTATGAAATCAGGATTATCTTGTTGGACATGTGCTACTTGGCAAATTTTTTAATGTTCGAAAAACAGGAAGGTAATTCATAATTTATGTCGCACTAATTCAACAACAGTATCAACAGTGTTGCTAAAACACACTGTAATAATTGATACTGCGATTAAATTTGTGCGCGGCTACCAAGTGACGTGGTCAACAGAAAAGTGACAACTTGCATCCGACGAGCTTCTGCATAATATAAGAGGGGCCCACGCTTAAAATGCCTACTTCTGTGATTCCTTTGAACACTGGTCAAAAGAGGAGAAATAAAGAAAATGCAACAGATTCTGTTGTGTTCAATATTTAGAGTTTCTGCACTGTCTACAACTGTTCAAGGTACATTTGTAACCTAAACCTAGTCAATGTTTTGTGAATTGATGTACCCTTCAAGGCAATTTATTGCACATTGAAATGCACCATCAATAACTAACCACTACCCTTATCATATTACAGTATGTGGCTCTATCTAAAACAAGACGGATCCAGAGATATGCGCTTGTACAGCAGGAATAACTGCGGTATGGTGACGTGCACCTGTAAATTCAATACGAAGTAACGTGTTGGCCCGAAACCACGTGTTTCAAATACCACTTTGTTTGTCATCTGTCTAGTGCGTATTATGCGCACCATAAAACAAAAGCATACAGTTTGTTATTTGGTAATCGGATTTCAGCTGTGCCCGACAAGTAACATACATAAATAGCCATGAAGTTAGAATGGCCTTGATAATCATGTTCGATATATACGGTGAAAAGCAACTGAGCTTGTATTTAAACACCATCATAATATGAATTTCCCTCACTTCTGCATCAATTCGCAAACCCACACATGTTGAAAAGATAGGTCACGGGAAGCCGAAAGCCAAATTGTGGTTTTGCCTTACATATGTCTGGGTATTTGCATAAATGTTCACACTTTGTTCTTTTTTTGTTGTTGTTGTTGTGCGATCGTAACATGAAAACGTACAGCCCGTGATCATCATTTTCTACTGATAAGCTTTGTTTATCAAAATGTTCCAAGTAACGCTGTAAATTTGCTTGTATCTGTATGTGCGGTGACATCGAGTCTATATAAAGCATAAAAGAATCAGTATCTTTACAAAACGTATTTTTCTTACAATGAGAAGAGATTACTCTTCTGCAATTTTTACGTGTTGATGCCCAGCTGCGCTACGCAATGAAAACGCCAGGCCTCCCAATCGCCTGTACTCACCTGTGGTCAAAGCGACGCTGACACAGCAACCGCACCACCATATAAATCGTAAGCAGAGCGTCAGTGTCATCGGCCGGGACTGCATCTTGGGCGTATAACTCCGGAAGTGGTGTATCCCCGTACGACGGCCTCTCCGGAGTCCTTGGCCGTTTAACCCCGCCCGGCGGCCGCCGCCGCATCCGACCTGGCACGACCACCTCCTTTCCCACGCGTAGCCGTTACTCTCTCCCGCAATGTCAGATTGTCAAGTGGCCCTAGTGTAGCAGCTTCTTTAAGTATTCCTTCCATATTATGGGAAATCGCTGTTGCTTCAGCAGAACAGCCATCCGAGACACGCTTATCGCTCTGCCAGGCACGGATACGATGTACCAGTGGTGCGGAAATTTCTAATCGAAATTCCTGAAGCAGAGCATACCTACCGTGCCTTAGTTTATTGACGTATGGCCGATTTGTTCCTATTGCATTGTTAAAGTGACTTTTTAGACGAAAAACATCGTAATGCTCTCACTGTTGCACCTTGAGCAGTGTCCTTCGTGCAAATTTAAATGTATCTACATGGTTACATCTTACGAGCCTGATATCTCCCTGTTGTTTCTTTGTTTTTTGCAGAATTTAGAAAATGCGTGAACTCCATAGGAGACGAAAAGAATGAGGCATACAAGATAAATACTCAATATTAGACTTCTGATACGCCTTACACTTCCACTAGAATGGGCTAAGGTGAAGATGCACAACATTTCTTAAACTGGAAATAATTGATGGATAGTATCACCCACTGGCTTGATTCTGTTCAGGCCTTTCGATATACCTTACCTAAACATTCTACAAAGTATATCTCAATCACATCTGGGATCCTTCTACGTGAATGGTCTACTTTCTAAATTTTCTGCAGTCAGCTTATTTCATGCAAAGAATCTGTCAGTGATTGTTACGATTAGTGTGTTTATTTACTTCCGCACAGCAATCATTTTATCTGCCCTGAAGAAAACAAGTGAATTTTTCATACGTTATGCTCTACTGCAAACCTTGTTACCAACTTTCCTTTATTTTCCGCCTTCTTTATAGAACTTCCTGCCCCGCCGTGGTGGTCTAGTGGTTAAGGTTCTCGGCTGCTGATCCGCAGGTCGCGAGATTGAATCCCGGCTGCAGCGGCTGAATTTACGATGGAGGTAGAAATGCTGTAGGCCCGTGTGCTCAGATTTAGGTGCACGTTAAAGAGCCCCAGGTGGTCAAAATTTCCGGCGCCCTCCACTACGGTGTCTCTCATTTTCACGTGGTAGTTTTGGGACGTTATACCCTACATATCAATCAAATCAATCATTCAAAAACTTCCTTGCATTTCTTCAAGCAATTTGCTCAGTGGAACTTTAAAATAGATTCAAATTCAGGCGTTTTGGCTATAAATTAGTGCATTTTAAAGCAATCGCTTTAAAAAGCTCACTTCGCTGAAATTCCGCCATCGGCGTCGTTGGTTGTGAGCGAAAACACATCACCTCATGCGTGGCCGAAAAATTGAGAACGAAGCAAATGAATTAAATGTGTGGTACAAAATCCTGCTGCAGCATGGGGACCAAACCAGGGTTGTTTGAGATCAAGGGAGGGGTGGGGGGGAATCGAACCCGTGTCGTTTGCGTGGCAAGCACATGTTCTACCACGCGGCCACGCCTCTGTTTGTGAAAGCAGTGAAAAGAACTTCCTCTGCTTGGAAATGCAGTGAACCTAACTATCATACATCACAAACACGCGCGTCCTGTAAACGTGCTTCACAATGCAACACGAAATATTGCAGTAATAATGCCTGGTGCAAGCGTCCATAGGTAACGGGTGTCAGAACACGTGATTATCATAATGGCTCCGTAGTTGAAAGCCGCACTACAAGAGGCACACCGCTACTTTGTCTCTTCTTTTAAGGCCACGTAGTGGGTGCATAGAATTCGAAAAGGTTTCATGCACTTAGTGTTTGAAGTCCGCTCTACGAACAGGATGTCGCTATCGCGTTAAACTCCTAAAGGTGAAGCTTTAGGGTCCCCTAACTTTTTTTTTTTTGCCAACCAACGCATTGCCTTTCTGTCTTCTAATAACTAGCAGAAAAGCGATGGGATGGATCACATTCGGCAAGCATTCTCAAATTATGAATGGTAATCTGCCACTAACCCTCATGAGGAAAATATATAACAGCTGCATCCTGCCAGTACTTACCCACGGATCAGGAAACTGGAGGCTTACAAAGAGGGTTCAGCCTAAATTGAGGATGACGCAGTGAGTAATAGAAAAGAAAATGATAGGTGTAACGTTCAGAGACAAGAATAGAGCAGAGTGGGTCAGGGAACCAACCGGGGATTGTTATATCATAGTTGAAATTAAGAAGAAAAAACGGACATAGGCCGGGCATGTAGCATGTAGACAGTATAACCGCTGGTCATTAATGATAACTGACTGGATTCCCAGAGAATGCAAGGTAAACGTACGATAGGAAGACATAATGTTAGGTGGGCCGATGAGAGTAAAGGTTCGCAGGCATAACGTGGCAACTGAAAGGACAAGACCGGGTTGATTGGCGGATTATTGGAGAAGACGTGGCCCTGCAGTGGGCGTAAGCATGCATGATGATGATTTCTGTGTTCGGTTATGATTTGAGTGAATACCACTGAAAAGTTGGCCCGTGTGCAAATGTCGATCATCACGCCCTCGTAGGCGTGGTGTTCAACTGATTCGCCACACTTACTAAGACATCAGTATCACAATCACTATATTTACTTGTTTTCCACTCTAAATTTTTCTGCTCCATCCTCTTCCGCACGGTTACGTAGTACGCCAGCCATTGTAAGCTCGTTAAGCTTTTCTGATCTTCCCATTTTGCTGCTTACTTTCCGTCTTGCATGCATACAAATGAAAAGCAATCGACTGGACAATCGACTTGATCAACTGTACAAATCCTTTTGCTTGGGGAAATGGCAGCAAATACATGTCTAACACACACACACACACACACACACAATTATTGTTCCATAAAATCCACTGAGCGAAAACAAAGGAACATCTTTCAAAACCAGCCACTGAGCCAACGACACTTTTCATGTGTTAGTGATAAAAGTTCAAGCACTTCCGTACTCGTGCATACACATACTTATTTTACACCTTCAAGTAAACAGACAATCAATAAGCAATTTTCTTTAACAAATGTGCTCGGTCTTTCCGAAGTGTACAGATTTCGCAAAGTATAGCTAGCACGAGATTCGTGTGACACCATGCAGTTGGGATCTTAAGGCGCGAACACCCGCCAGCTCGAGGGACGGATACAGTGGTGAGCAAATTAGGCGAACAAACCTGATACTGAGCATGTCCTCATGGAAGTACTTCGCGTGGCACGAATGGGGATGAAGAAAGGAGACACACGAACTAGGCCGGCTAGCTGTTTTGCTTGAGTATGTTCGTTGCTGTGACGATGCATGTACGGGGTGAAAGACGAGGAAATTGACCTTAGCTAGACTTTAAGGTCAAACACACCTAAAAAGTTATTTTCTAGCTTTTTTTCCCGGACGATGTAGACCTATCACTCTCAAACAAGCATAAACTCGTTAAAATCTGGCTGTTTATCTGGCTCCCACGTGGAAATATTCATGCATCTACCATGTTTCTTCATTATATCTATGTGGTTCAAACTTTCCTACGAGGCCACAAAATATTAGCTAGCTAGCGAACCATGCTCCAGGAGCAATCAAGCATTGTCACTGGTGGTGTAATGGTGAGCTCAAGGCAACACAAAAATAAGAGGATGGCTTGCGAAAATTGAAGCTCTAAGTGCGGGAGAGAGACACTCGGAATGAAATATTGCGATGTACGAATACCAGCTCATGACAAGCTGAGCCCTTCGCTGAAAGGGTAACGAACGAAAGTATCGTTTCTGTTTCCTATAAGGTGTTCCTGAGAAACTGAGGGCATGCGCTTAGATTGGCAAACAAGTGTTTTCGCTTAGATGACAGGACGTTGAAAAGTGCTTATCTGAGGTAAATTGGTAGCGGTATTCTAATGGTAAGGACCACATTTCTCGCTTTGACACGAGACCTTACTTTCATGCTTGCAAATGACCGTAGGAAGAGTTTTAGTCTCGTTCCAGTATACATGTTCCCAGAGAATTTAAATAGGTGGATCGCTTGATCAGATTCGCGAAACTGAAACGCGTGTTCAACATTTACGCGTATTGTTTTGCAAATAAATAGAACTCAGAGTAACTTTGACACTTCAATAAATATCTCCGTATGCGGAACAAATATTTCATCGCCAAGTACTTCCGCAGTTAGGCACGAAAAGGTTAAGGACATAAAGCATGTTTAGTACCAAGCTACTATTAATGGCACGAAACCGAGATTTAACTGAACTGGTCGTAAGCTAAGCAAGGTGCAAGCGTGTTTCGAAATACCACCGTGGCTTTCGCAAATTTGCTATTTGCGCGCTTCTTTTCATCTCGAAACGCCGCAGTGTACAACGCGATCAAGAAGAAGAGAGAAAGAATTGCTCAAAACGCCACGCATGGCTATAGATCCAAGCCCAATACGCTCCCGCCAACCTGACTGTGATATCCCTTATCTCGTGCCACCACCACGGCCACTTGAGGAACCAGTTTGTCCCGAAACAACACAACCAAATGACCATCAACTTTTGACCGCCCTCTGAGATGTGGTCGTGTTCCATGGCGCTATATAGGAAGACGTCGATGCCTTCGAACGCTGATTTCGGACGCTGCCACAGACGAACTGCCATGCTATCCTGGACGCTTGTTGTATGCCTCGCAGTCGCCGCATCGGCAGAATCTACGGAAGCCGGTGAGTACCTACGAATTTGCGATCGTTAGATATAGTATTCAAATTTTCGTTACCCCTTGTGGCTCTGGAAATGTAATGACTTTGGCGCGAGAGATGCCTGAAACGAAGAATGCACTCCCAATCAGGTCCTGGTTAAATGATGGCTATATCAAGGAAACCAGACGACAAACTTCCGCTTTCCTTACTATATGCTGCACATTAGGCCGGACACGATTGACAGTGTGGCTGACTGACAAAGTGTAACGAACACTCATTATGTGGG